ATCATTTATTCTGGTTAACAATATTAACTAACATTAATAATGAATGATATTTTCATTTAATTATCACAAATCGCTTTAGAAAGACTATTTTTTTTTTAATTTTTAATTATAATTATTAATTAAAAAGGGAACACAAAACAAGTAACAATCTGTACCTGTAATATTAACGATAAATAAAAAAAACTCTTATAGAAGTAAAACTAGACTTAATATTTTTTGTTTATTAAAATTTTTATTAAATCAACATTAAAATCTTAAACATTAAAATCTAAAATCTTTTGAAATAAAATATTAAAATATTAATAAAGAAAGTCGCCGTAAAAACTAAATTTATTCATTATTTTGAAAGTATGATCTTAAAAAGCACAGACTATTAATGCTTTTATCCCCCAGACTGGTTCTCAGGTCGTTACGTATGTATCCTGCGGCCGAAAATGCTCTCTCAGCCTCTACACTTGTTGGTGGAATTGTAAGCAAATATTCATATGCCATACGAAGGTATCTACTTTTGATACCGTTATGTTCAAAAGCAATCATTTCTTTTTTTAATACATTCTCTAAGTTTTTAGAAAGAACCTTCGATTCCATCACTTTTACTTCGGGATATTCCTTCTGTAATTTCATCTCTAACTCTTCTTGCAAAGATAAAGTGCAAAATTCGTCTTGTTTTTTATCTTCCTTGAAGTTGTTGGCACATGAAGCAGTATCGGATGTACATAAAATTTTTTCTCCATGTTCATTGCTTAGAACTCTTTCTAACAGATTTTTTATTTCTTTGCGGGTAATTGTTTTTTTAGGCAGTAAAAATGTAATATCGTCTGGATTTTTTAAGTCATTTTCAAATTTTATCGAATTTTGTAAATACAGCAATATTCCAGTTAAATCAGCGCGGCGTTGTTTAATTCTTCGACGAAGTGCTGCGGCCAATTTGGTGCTAAGAGGAGTAGATTGATTATCCAGTTTTTCTAATATAAACCGCAATGTTATTTCAGCTGTGATAAGCGTTGCATCTCTTCTGCGTAATACCTCAACACCTAATTTTACTGGTTCAAAAGAATTCTTCAAGTCATTTATAGCAAACCATTACGTTTCGGTGAATCGAATTTCCGATCGTAAGTCGATCAAGGCTTTACTTACTAATGCATAATCTTATACTATAGAAGCGTTCTAACATATTTACCAAACTTCCAACAAGTTTTACAATCTAGAATAAAGTCTAATCTTTTACCGTGCTCTTCTTGAATATATTTCTGCAAAATAAGATCATTTTTCGTAGGTGATTTTTTGAAAATCTTTACAATTTTTCGAACCTTTGTAATGAGATCTTTATAATTCGAAGCTATCTTCACAGATGAAGGAGTACAATCCACTACAAAACCCCCTTCATCGTCGTCGTCATCAACGTCAGATAACTCAGATTGATTGGCATTGTGAATTTCTTGAAATCTTCTTGGTCCTCCTTGGTCTTGATCCTTCTCTTCTGCTAAATCTTTGTACTGAACGTCAATAATTGCAAGTTGTATATCATGCGCAAAACAACGTTGTTGAAAGCAAGGCATTAGGTTCCCAACTTTTATCATCACGTTCCGACCATCGGTAGTTATAGCGACAATATCGTCTTTAATATTTATATTGAAGATCTTGAGATGCTCTTCGACCAAATTCACGCAATGTTCTGCTGAAGAAGAACCTTAGATTCTGATTAAGCCAAGATTGCGATGCTGTTTATCACTATGTAAATTTATATTTAAATAACGTCGGTTCTTTCGAGATGTCCATTCATCGAATGTTAATGAAAATTTTTGATATTACATTTGCAATTTTTGGATTTCATTTATCATATTAGCTTTTACAGATTCTGAGAATTGAATAACTATAGACCTTATTGTATTTGAAGACAATGGAAGTTTATGACCACTTTTTTGAAACAAATATCAAATCTAAAGATTTGCAGAAAGAATTAAAAGAAAATCCGTCTTTGGCAGTTCGAGAAATCATCATTTCCATGATATTGTCTTTTAAGAAAAAATCACTAATTTTTGTTTTCTTTTTTGGTATGATATTTTCACCTTTATTGTCCAGCCTGGTCGAAGAAGTAGATGGTGCAGATATAATCTGTTGACTTGATGACGAAGAATTTGATTTTAAGTCTATACAATGTTTGCTTTTCAAGTGCGTCACTAAACCTTTTCTCGACCGTTGACTTATTTTTAAAACCGCAGAACACAATAGGCATTTAGCATTATCTAAATGTTCCCCTTTTGCAAAGTACTTCCACACTGTAACTTTTTCGTCTTCTCCACTCATTGCACAATGCGATTCTTTACTATTAATTTTTTTACAATTTCGTAAATTGTATTATTAACAGCAATACAATAAAACAAAATTACACTTAAACACGCGCGCCTTGAAATACGTGCAGTTTTATTTCTTTTAAACAAACTAACGAACTAACTATAAGAATCAATTGAGTTGGACGATTGGCGGCCAGTAATGTCAGTTTCGAGACGCTGCCACAGCCACAGCGTGTGAAGGGGATAACTCATACAAGCGTGAACCGTGTACATGTAATGCGCAGAGCGTTCTACGCATTACATGTACACGGTTCACGCTTGTGTGCATTATCCCCTCTACACGCTGTGGTTGTGGCAGCGTTTCGAAACTGGCATCACTGTTGGCGGCGTCGGCGGCAGTGATGCCATTTCTGCGTTTTGCGCCCGCTGCCTGCGCGTGTGGAGGGGGTAGCGCACACAAGGAACGAGCCGTGTACGTGTGCGCTCGGCGCTCGGGCAGTATCGGATAATAGAAGAGGACAGACAAATTGCCTACTTTTTATTGCATATTCTTGTAGCTTATCTCGAGAGCTTTTCAAAACATTATAATAAAGTATTTTTTCATTAAGTACTTTTTGAGTTATTTTATATCAAATAAAATTTAATTTATATTAATATGACGGATTCTGCATATTATAAAAATAATATATATATTTCGTATATATTTTTATACAGTGAGCAATTGAAACAATAAGAATTTTGATTATTAATCAAAATAGGTTTTCCGATTTTGCTAAGATTCATAATACATTAATAAATATAAAAATATATTTTACAGAATGTAAAGTTCATAATGATTGTTTTAAATATTACATCGATATTATTTAAACATACGAGGCACCCTCGTCAATTGCCTTGCCGTCTTATCAATCGGCACAGCCCTGTGTAGTTGATCTTCATTTGTTGTTCAAAATCCGTGAAACATGATACGCTGCATGTTGCAGAACGTCTTGCTATCTTGTACGATTACGACGTTTACGAGTTCTACAAAGCGCTTTTTCACGGTATTTCCACTCATTTTCTAATTTCTGTTTCTTATTCTTTTAATTTTTTTCCTTTTCTGTTTCATTTATATTTCAGTATATTTCTGTCTTTCGTTTCTTTTCGTCTTTCCTCATTTTGCTTCGCAACTCTTTTGCTTCGCAATTCTTTTGCTCCATTTTTCTTTTTATTTTTAATATTTTCATATCTTATAACTTTTTCTACTTTTTTTATTACTTCTTTATCATGGAAACGTGCGATGAATTAAAGAAAAGGCGAAAACAAAAGTTTTCTCAAACTTGGCTTAGCGATGATCGCTATAAGCTTTGGATCAGTCAAGTACCGACTGATGACACTCCCCTAGTAGCACAAGTTTATTGCAGCAATATTGGCTAACAATATATATCCAATTTTTTATATTGGGTATAAACTGATTTTCCATATTGGTCCAATATTGTAAAGTAGACGCTCTCCATTTTCGAGCTAATATTAAATTGTAATATTGGACCAATATATGAACTTCATCTTTAACCAATCTTGGTTAAAAATGAAGTTCATATATTGGTCCAATATAATAAACAATTTTGTTAGATTGAATACAAGTCGATTTCTAATATTGGATCAATATTGTAAATTCTTTTTTAGCCAATATTAAATTGTATTATTTGACCAATATATCAACTTCTTCAATCAATATTGGTAAAAATTAATTTTGCATCATGATATACCAATGTCTCTATCAATATTGATAAGAACATTGATAAATCATGATGAAAAATAAATTTTTGCCAATATTAAATAAAAAAGAAGTTAATGCATTAATTCATAAATATAATTCATTATTAGCTAAAAATAAATATAGAACCTGCTGTTACTAAATTCTAAACAATTTAAAATAAAAAAATGAACATATACAAAAAGGTAATTACAGTTTACAGTACGGATTCGCGTTACACATCGCTTCTCGCTCATCTCTGAGCGTTTCTTTCAGTTTCGGGCGATCTCGTCGAGGTCGACTCCCGAACAATATATAAGTAATAATACTCTCTTTGGTATAATCAATGAAAGAAACCTCTTATAATACTCTCTTTGGTACAGTCATTGAAAGAAACTGTTTGTTCGAAATCAAATTAAAAGCGATGGAAGACGAGGCGCCTTGAACGAGATCGAGTTTAAAGCGATAGGAGATATAGCGCGGCCGATCGATAATTTCTAAGAATTCGGGATGAGAGAGATGACCGCTCTTGATACAGTCGCTCTTGCTCTTCTCGCGCTGCTTTATTCGACTAAGTTCCGATGCGACAGTTAATCCAGTGCGCTTTCGCGGCTCGCGATCCACCGATTCTGTGTGCGGTCTTATTGTTCGACAGTGCGGTCTCTTCGTTCGAGATTATCCCTCCGTTGCTTGCGGAAATATTAGATATCATTTATCATTAATCTGTAAAAAGTGTACAAAGTTACTTTATTAAAATACGTATTGTCAAGTCGCTCGTCTTTCATACAGATCCGCGTCCTCCTTACTCATCGAGATTACATTTAACGGTACTCTTCACTCTCGCGTCCACCTCTCTCGCTAACATTTGCTGTTCCTTCGAGCCGGATTCTCTGTGTCTGGTGCCGGTACGTGTAGTGCCAGTGGTGAGTTCTTCTGTGCTTCTCCGGAAAACTTGCATCTAAAATTTCAAGATGAGTAAGGACATGGAAGCTGCCATCAGCATGCAGTTCGACCTTTACGGGCACATCGCTCGCTCGTACGAGAACTTGAAAAAGGTAGGCTCTGCTCACTATACTATCGGCTTAGTGGAAGCGCGTCTACAAGCCCTCGAATCCAACTGGGAAAAATTCGACACCCAGCACGACAAGCTCCTCGCCACATACAGGGAGGCCCTGGCAGGACATGACTACCTGAAGAAGGACATGCAGTCCCTTACGGAGGAATCTTACATCGCACAGAAGAGTATGTTCCTTGACATATTCCGCTCCCTGAAGAATAAGGTCAGCGCGGAAGCGCCTGCTGTCGGCGCGAATTTCTTGCAGACATCGCGCACGACTTTGCCGCGGATCCAGCTGCAACAATTCTCAGGTCGGTACGAAGAGTGGCTTTCCTTCCGGGATCTCTTCAACTCACTCATCGTGAAAGATGCCTCCACAGCTCAAGTCGAGAAGTTTTACTACTTGAAAACGTGCTTGAAAGGTGAGGCGGAACTATTAATCCGCAGTTTGCCGACGACTGCCGAAAATTTCGCTTCAACTCACTCATCGTGAAAGATGCCTCCACAGCTCAAGTGGAGAAACTTCACTACTTGAAGACGTGCTTGAAAGGTGAGGCGAAACTATTAATCCGCAGTTTGCCGACGACAGCCGAAAATTTCAATCGCGCGTGGAAAATCCTGACAGGATATTACGAGAATAAACGTCTTCTAGTTCGTTCTTACATTTCGCGATTTTCGGCTCTTCAGAAACTCAAAAGTGAATCCGCTACCAAAAATTATATCACGGCGTAATGAGCACCGTCGGCGCTCTTGAAAGCATCGGACGGCCGATAACGCGCGGCGAAGATCTTTTCGTTCATCTCGTCGTGGATCTCCTTGATTCCCGGTCGCGTCGCGAGTGGGAAAGTTCTATCAGTGATGCGACGGAACCTCCGTCGTATACCGCGTTGCAACAGTTCATAGACCGTCGGCTTCATACGCTCGAATCCTTGCAGTCTAGTCAACCGGAGACTAGCCCTGCGAAATTAAGCCTAACTTCGGGGCGTCCGAAGCGCGTACTTCACGCTCGTAAACCCGCGTACAAACGCGGACAGTGCTTTATCTGCAGTCAAGATCACTACATCATGTTTTGTGACGGCTACAAGGCCAAGACCGCTGCGGAAAAGAAACAACACGTTGAAGCTAACAATCTTTGCTTCAACTGCCTTGGCAAGCACAAACTAAGTGAGTGTACCTCGCAGAAAACATGCTCATCGTGTCGCGCGCGTCACCACACGACGTTGCATGATACATTTAAAGAAAGCGAAGTCGCGACATTCTTGCACTTCGCGCAGCGGTCTCAAGAACAGTGCTTCTAGTTACAGTTCGTGTTCGCGTAACAGATCAAGACGGAGTCGTGCACACCGCGCGTGCCCTTTTAGATCAGAGCTCCGACTCGTCGATGATCACGTCTTCACTGGCACGACGATTGCGATTAGCTCGCCAAGCAGCTTCTATCAGAATAATCGGCGTTGGTGGGAAGCCGTCGGGCCGCGTTAACAGCCGAGTCAAGTTTCAGATATTACCTCAAGGATGAGGGTCGCCGATAACGGTAACGGCAATGGTTTTTCCTCAGATCACCATCGTAAGCGGAGGGTTCAAAGGAGATCGACGAGCATGGACACACCTCCAAGGACTGAGGTTCGCCGACCCTGACTTTAAGGACCCGGACCCGTTGGACATTCTGCTGGGCGCGGATGTCTACGCCGAAATCCTCCCGCCAGGCCTTCGTAAAGGAGCTCCCCATGAACCTATAGCTCAACGGACGTCATTAGGTTGGGTTCTGTCTGGACCCGCGGGAACAACTGGCGAAACGATGCAGCGCAACGCTCAGTCGTACCATTGCCAAACGGACGAAGATTTGTCTTTTCTCGTAAGTAAATTCTGGCAGCAAGAAGAACTGCCCGTCTCTGGCTCGCAACTTACTCCAGAGGATCAAGAGGGTGAGAATTTCTACAACGAAACACACGCTCGCACTGCTGAGGGACGGTACGTCGTTCGGTTGCCGGTCGTCGCGCCGCTGCCGGACTTCTCTTCAACGCGTTTTTCCGCTCAGCGAGTACTCTCCGGCATGGAGAAAAGATTTGACAGGGATCATCGCCTGCATCAACTCTACGAAGACTTCATGCAACAGTATGAAGCCTTGGGCCACATGGGCCCGGTGAGTCAATCAGAACCAACCGGAGAGCGCGTGAGCTACCTGTTCCACCACGGAGTCATGCGGGAGTCGAGTACCTCAACAAAGCTACGCGTCGTCTTCAACGGCTCGACGATCACAGCTTCAGGCAATTCGCTCAACCGACGCCTCCTGGTCGGCCCTAATTTGCTGCCCCCTCTCTGCAATGTGCTTCTTCGATGGCGTCGACATCGGTACGTGATGGCCACAGACGTCGAAAAAATGTACCGTCAGATTTTGGTCCATCCTGACGACCGTGACTTGCAAAGGATCATATGGCGCTGCGACAGGCAGGCCGATTTCCAGGAATACCGTCTAAATACGGTTACTTAAGGGCTATCCTGTGCGCCCTTTCTGGCGATGTGTACTCTTCAACAACTCGCCATCGACGATGAGCATCGATATCCTATAGGAGCATCCGTTATCCGCAGCGACGTCTATATGGATGACGTCTTCACGGGTGCCGCCACCTTCGATGAGGCTCAGGAGCTTCAGCGCCAGCTGACAGGACTCTGCACGGCGGTCGGCTTCCCTCTACGGAAATGGTCGGCGAACGAGTCTTCCATACTTGCTGAAGTGCCTATCGAACATCAAATGCAACGCGAGCCTCGGGCCTGGCGACCACACGAAACCCATGCCACACTCGGACTTCAATGGCATCCCGGGACGGACTGCTTCTCATTCGCCACGCGGACGATCTCGGTGGCGAACATAACAAAACGATTAGTTCTCTCTTTAACAGCGCGACTCTTCGACCCGCTAAGATGGCTGGCGCCCACTGTTGTGAACTGTAAAATCGCCTTTCAGGATACCTGGTTGCAAGGCATCGACTGGGACAACCCCCTCGACGAAGCATCCGCCAAACGGTGGCAAGATTATTAAAACGAGCTCTTCCTGTTCGAACAAATCCGGATACCTCGGTGGATCGGCCCGCGCGCGCTCGATGGCGAGGCTGAGCGCCATGGGTTCGCCGACGCTTCCGAGCGTGCCCATGCTGCCGTCATTTACCTGAGGACCGAAATCAACAATGAGTGGCACACTTGCTTGATAGCCGCTAAAACCAAAGTTGCTCCTATTCGACAGATTACTCTACCTCGTCTAGAATTTAGCGCTGCCGCTCTCCTCGCCCGGCTTGCTGCCCACGTTCGGACAACGCTCGACTTATCGAAGACCCCAATGCACCTGTGGTCAAACTCCACGGTCGCTCTAGGTTGGATACGGGGACATCCCTCACGCTGGAAGAATTATGTCGCCAACCGCGTGGCCGAAATCCAGACTACTGTTTCCGGCGCTTTATGGCATCACATTCCTGGACGGGATAATCCAGCTGACTGCGCCTCACGAAGACTTTCTCCTGGTGAACTGGTAAATCATCATCTATGGTGGCAAGGTTCCCCGTGGCTCCAGCTTGGGGAATCTTCTTGGCCCGTTTCAAGCGGGCTGGTTACCTATGAGAATCTGCCCGAAAAACGAACCCGCGTTCATGTGGCCAAAGCTCAGCCTTCATCTGACGAAGAACCCGCTGAGTTGCTGCGGTTCTCTTCCTACCATCGACTGCTGCATGTGACAGCGTAGTGCCGACGATGGCTCCCGCGACGAGGAAATGCCGGTCCAGCGGCGGACGAGGCTGAGCGACTCTCTGGTAATGTTTTATCGACAGCCGAGCTGAAGGACGCACGCCTATTGTGGCTTCGGCTGGTCCAATCTACCAAGTACAAGGACGAACTAAAGGCCATACGAAAGGGTCGCGGACCGGGTAGATCTAGTCCACTTATAAGACTCAGTCCTTTTCTAGATCGCCAGGGCATCATCCGCGTCGGAGGACGTCTCAAGCACGCCATCCTGGATTACGATGAGCGCCACCCCATCATCCTGCCTAGCGAGTCGACGTTCACTCGACTAATAGTCGAGGCGTGCCACCGTCGGACGCTGCACGGCGGAGTATAGATGACCCTGGGGATGATCCGACAACGTTATTGGATCCCTAGAGGCCGAGCCATCGTAAAACAACAAATTCTTCGCTGCGTGACTTGTGTGCAGGCGGCGACGCCACAGCAACTGATGGGCAGCCTGCCTCGCGAACGGGTGACGCCAGCTCGACCCTTCTTACACACCGGCGTCGACTACGCCGAACCTATTTTGTTGCGGACAACAAAAGGAAGAGGCCATCGAGCGTACAAGGCTTTCATCTCCGTATTCATCTGCCTTTCCACAAGGGCCGTGCATCTGGAGATCGTATCGGACTATACGGCGGAGGCCTTCTTGGCGGCATTGCGTCGTTTCACTTCTCGTTGCGGATTGTGCCAGACCATCCACAGTGACTGCGGGACGACTTTCGTGGGAGCTGACGCACAGCTATGGGCCTTCTTCGCGGCCAGCAGTCCCGAACAACGAGCGATAGTCAGGCAGCTCGCCGCCGATAGAATTACATGGTGATTCAACCCACCTTCGGCGCTTCATTTCGGCGGAATATGGGAGGCTACCGTCAAGTCTTTCAAGTATCATTTGAGGCGGGTGATGGGACATGCAACCCTGACCTACGAGGAGATGAGCACTCTCCTCGCTCAGGTAGAAGCGTGCCTTAATTTATGACCTCTTCAGGCTCTTTCAGATGATCCGGAAGACCTCTCCGCTCTCACGCCAGGCCACTTCCTTGTGGGATCCGCTTTGACCGCCATACCTGACCCTTCCATGCTGGACAAGCCGATGAACCAGCTGGCCCGTTGGCGGCTCCTTCAAAAAATGCGGGACCATTTCTGGGAAAGATGGTCCCAGGAATACTTCTACTCGCTAGTACATCGCCCTAAATGGTGGAGCAAGGAATCGGGCTTCACAGTCGGCCGATTATGCCTCATCCGAAACGAAAACCTGCCACCAACGAAATGGCCCTTGGCACGCATCATTCGGATCCATCCCGGAGAAGACGGTCAAATTTGTGTTGTGACCCTCCGTACGGCTACCACGGAGTTAACCCGGCCTATAGTAAAGCTCATTCTTTTGCCGGTTGCCGATGGCACTGCGAGCAAGGAGACTCAAGTTTGATCGCTCAAGCGGCTTACGTTTTTCTTAGAATTTACGGCATGCATATAATTATATTAATTTTATTCTCTTATATTAATTTTATTCTCTTTCTGTATACTCGTATTGTTATGTGTTAATAATAGGCAAGCGTGACGGCGACCAGTCGCCGGTCGTTCGATCAAGCAACGGACGGGATTATGGTTAACATCACGCCATGCGATCACAGTAGATAAGAGCGGGCGGCCGCGAGCTCGGATACTCACCTCTGTACTACATACCGTTCTCTTCGCCTCGCTCTTCTCGGGGAGTACTTCTGCTTACTTCATGGTTCACGTCTCGATCACATTGAATTGCACTGAAGTCTCTCGTCTTCTCTCGACATCGCGCAATAATAACGTTCACTTCCGCGATTCCTTATGTACGAATTAAGAGAAATTTCGCCAAATGCTACTGGCGAGGCGGGCGGGATGTTCGACTGGATCCTTCTAGAAGGATTCAAGATTATAAAAAAGGCGCGCACAAGGCGCGTCCGGCTCTTGACAAAAAGTAATCAACGCGTACACGTAGATTTTCTCGCGCTGCTTTATTCGACTAAGTTCCGTCGCGACAGTTAATCCAGTGCGCTTTCGCGGCTCGCGATCCACCGATTCTCTGTGCGGTCTTATCGTTCAACAGTGCGGTCTCCTCGTTCGAGATTATCCCTCCGTTGCTTGCGGAAATATTAGATATCATTTATCATTAATCTGTAAAAATAGTACAAAGTTATTTTATTAAAATACGTATTGTCAAGTCGCTCGTCTTTCATACAGTTCTGCGTCCTCCTTACTCATCAAGATTACATTTAGCAGTACTCCTCACTCTCGCGTCGACCTCTCTCGCTAACACTGTTTATTAATTTTGCTCTCTTCTTTTTTTTCTTCCTCCTTCTCTGTCTCCACTCTCTGCAAGGAACTTCGATATTTTTTTTAGAATTTCACTTTTTCATGCGTTTTGTAATTTTCTCGAAACAATTTCTAAAAATAAAAAAATCTATAAATAAGTTTCTACTAAATTGTATACAAGTTTTTCATTCCAAACTTAGTTCTTAAGTAGTTATTAATATAAAAAATCTATATGCTTTATACTAGATATCCAAAAAAAAATAATAATAATTTCTAAAATTTGAAAATTATATCATAGTAAGCTATATATAAACATAGATC